TTTCCCTAGCCTCCTCCATCAACACCACAGTTAACACATCTGCTCTGACCAAAGGTATCGTCATCCTGCCTGTGGAGTTCCCCTCTTCCTTCCCCATGCTGAGCAGGGACTATTGGGTGTCTCACGCTCCCGTTGAAAGAATAAGTCTGTTCCTGAGGCTCAGGTTTTAGAACTGGAGAGGGGTTTGACAAATGAGCCAGAGCATGTAATCCAGAGGCCGACAATCTCTTCAAGTCGCAAGCCAGAACATCCCAACTCTGGTCCAGAACAGCTGGGTGGCTTTGGCATCACATCAGTGATGGCAGGGGTTTTCCCTGCTCCCCCTGGACCCATGCAGCTGGGAGCTGCGCCCACGCTGCTGCTGCTTATTCCAATCCCTTGTTCCCTGGCTGAGGTATGAATGCAGCTTCCAGCTGAGGGGGGAGATGTGCCAGGGCTGGGCAGCTAGGAGCTGCATCCACACTGCTGCTGTTTCCAGCTGATCTGGCCTGCAAGTCGTATGTTGTCAACCCCTGGTGTGATCTGCAGAAACAAATAGGTCCAGCTTGATCATACGTTTATAACATACGTGCATGTATCCCCAAGGTGTGAGGGTGGTGGTTTGCTCCAATTCCCAAAGAAGCACTGCCAAGACTCCAAGTGAGTTTTATGAACACAGAATCCGAATTTTGGCTAAAACGGGATTTGGTTCCAAACTTCTCCTTGCCAAAGATCGCTTCCCCACCTCTCCTCGCAGATCCTTGGGATCCTTGCTGAGAAAGCAAAGAGCATTTCACTGTGCAGTGCTTGTCAGCTTGAGATCATGCCAAAACCGGGATGGAATAGGTGCTGGTTTTGAAGCAAAACTGTAACTGCACTTGGACGGTGCATCCTGGGGTATCTGAGCCCCTTTGGAAAGCACTCACTAAAAACCTGTCTGGATCACTGAAATTATTGGGATAAGGGAAACAGCAGCTTCTTTTGCAGAATTGCAATCAGTAACAAGTAGCCATAATGGTTTCATCTCTTACATACATGAAATATAGTAAACCAGTTGGTTATACAATACCAACAGTTACACGTTACTGTATCAGACTTTGGAGGAGAGGTATATAATACAGGAGAATATTAAATACAGCTTGTACACGGTTACAAGTTAGTACAAAAAACATTGCCATTCAGATAACCCAGGTCAAGGTAACCTAGGATTTACTGAGTTTAAACTGAATTTCAATGAGATTTCTCCAAAGCCCCTAAGGGAGTTAGATGGGAATTAGCCAGTGGGGTTTGGACGCTTTGCTTCCTTGGCTGCTTTTTTGTGAACTAGTATTTTAATTTGTTTGGGGAAATGCCCCAGATTTGCTCATGTTTCCAAACATAATTAAATGTTTCAAAATGATGTGTGCCTTTAGGAGCATTAGTTTAATCGGAAATCAATAGATTCATAGAAGTAGGGTCGGAAGGGACCTTGTAGATCTTCTAGTCCAACCCCCTGCCTTGGGCAGGAGAGAAAACTGGGCTCAGATAGGAGGTAGGCTATCAAGTGAGTGCCTGAGTTACTGACACAGTTTAGGCTCTTCAGTCACATAGGTGCTTTCCACTATTTTACCTTTTGTTGGTTCCTATGATGAGGGGAAGGGGCTGCTGTATTTTCTGTAAGGACAAGTTTTCTGCAAGAAGCAGCAGTTGGGATTTGATCCCGTTCTCACTGAGGTCAGTAGGAGTGCAGTTGTTGAGTTGAGGATTGATCTGGATGGATGCAGCTCAAAAGATGTTCCACGGATATTCACAGCAGTCAAAGCAGGGGTTTCCCTTCCAGCGCTCTCTTCCCACAGAGCATCTCTCAGACAGTGCTGGGAATGCTCATGGAAGGAGGACATTTCAAGTGAAGTTCGGACTGGACTTTGCATGTCCCAAGCTCACGAATGCAAGCGTTGGCCTCGGGATCCTGTTTCCAAGGGTTGTTTCCATCCTGTGATAGAACAAGCCTACCGTGACATTCACAGGGGCACCCCACTCACGCCAGACTCCTCCCAAACAACTGATAGATCAAGGACTATTTGCAGAAAGCTTTGCTGAAATTATTTTGAGCTCAGAAAAGATTGAGAAAAGCCCATGCTGGAGGTGGAAAATTTACAGACTGAAAGAGAAAAGCCTCACCGCCAGGCTCAAGACCCTATTTTTCTTGCAGTTGGTATCAAATTGCCCTAAAGAATTGGAAGCATACTATTTCCTGTGCAAAGAAGGAATGAGCCTTTTGAAGGGAGCTATACCAGGCCTGCCAAGGGAGCAAGGGGCATTGCCAGGGAAAAGGTCCTTTCATAGCCTCCCAGCCTCATTTCCACTCTAGCTCCAGAAATGGAAAACTGTTTGCCTTTTTGGATGTGAGTGGGCAGGTGTGATATACAGTGCCATGAACTGATGGAGGAAATGGGAAGGAACAGACACAGGGAAAGAGAGTGGGAAAACAGTATTCTTAGCACTGTTGTATAGAATAACTAACTGGAGGAAATGGTGTGCGAGTTGCAATGAATGATCTATTTTTGGCAAAGTTTTGACTTCAAAAGTCAGAACTTTTCATTCCATCCAGGAAGAGCACACACCAACTGCTGTAACTTCCTTAGCCTGACGAAGGGTTTTTGAACCCAAAAGCTTGCTTAATAATTGTTTTCCAACTATTTAAGTTGGTCTAATAAAAGTTATCGGATTCACCCAAAGAACCTTGTCTGCCTATATCCTTAGACCAACACGGCTACAAGCTGCACCCCTAAAGTCATAACTAGGCCTCCATCCAAGGGAAGATGTTGGTTTCTCGGCTGGAGGAGAAATGAAATGGGCCCTCAATGATTTTTATTGCATAGTTTATTCAATGTAATTCCTTTAAGGAAATGTGACATGCCCCAAAGCAGAAGCTTTGCCCTGTATTGAAATAAAGTTCCAGTCAAGGTATTTTTATCTCTACAACTCATTCAAGGACCACTGCTCCCTTATCTTCACTGCTAATAGATAAGTACAGTACTTTCTCTTGGGCGCATGAAACCAGGATAATTAGCAAAAAATCCATTTGCAAGGGGTACCTACCATCCAGAAATCAAAGGCGCCACCTGTCCTTCAGGCATCTGATCCTAGACCCAGCAGTGCTGAAATTGTTTTTAGAGCCGAGTCTTACCTGCCGCAGCTGCATTTGCGAGGGCCACCTGGTGGAGAAGCAAAGGTGGGACATCTGTGAAAGTGCCTGTTGGAACCAGACACACTCTCTAGGTCTTATTTACTACTGCGACCGTTCAAAGCTGCAACGGGGTGGGGGTGTTTTATTGATGCATATCGCAAACCTGTTTTTCTGGCCTTTTTCTGGAAAATGGATTGGTGGGGAGGGGGTTTAATTGTTTAGTGGCAAGCATTACCCCGAGCCCTTTAGAAGGAACGACTTCATGAATTCCAAGTTGTGTTTCTTATGACCAAGACATTTGCAAACAAGTTTCACCACTACCTCTATTGACAGTCTTGTGCATCTGTGAACTTCACACAGGTCCCCTTGGTCCTGCAGTTAAAGTCAAGAGGCATGAAATAAAGAGTGATCCAACTCCCCTGGGGTTTGAAGGTACAAGTATTGGCGTCATGCATGAAGTTCTTCCCCGTGCACCTTTGGTGTCATCTGTGGACTGCCCATCTCTTCACTTGCATTAAAACCCACGAGGAGCTCCGCATTTAGTGTTTCATGTGTGCTTGTTGTAAACCCAAGTCTGTCACCTCATTGCCTGTTCTCTGTGCTTGTGCTGTGTTTGTGGGGTTTTATGTAGGGAGCAGCCCAAAGTAAGGCTTCAGTTCCTAGCTAGGACCTTTAGGAAGGGGGTAAATTGTAATGTCAGGCTCCAGATCCAGTTCTGGATAGATCCCAACCTCCTCCAGCCTCTGGTTCAAAAGCAGATTCTGGATCCCACCTTTACAGCTCTGGTACTTCTTCAGCTCATCTTTTTCTTAGAGTAGGGGGAGATTAACAGCAGGATTGTATAAAGTGTGTCCAACTGAAAATCCATGTTTGCAGTGGACCTGATTGGCAGTAGTGGGGGGCATGGCACCTCCTTCTGTTTGCTGCCCCCTTCTTGCTCAGTGGCACCTTCACATGAAAGGCGGGGGGAGGGGCAGTCACAGAGCCCCAGGGGCTGTTTGTGGTCTGTTAACTGCAGCTGGGTCACCCCAACCCACTCTCCACTGCGCTGGATGAATGTAGCAGAAAGTACACCCAAACCTTTTGCCCATTAAAAATGCAATGCCTCCTTTTGTTCACGCAGTACTTAAGATTGGTACTTGCTGCAGATTCTTGCATTGGTTAGATGTGGATCTGAAATGGCAAATTCACTAAAAAGTGAATTCAGGGAATGCTCAGTTAATTGCTGTATATACTGGGAACAGCACCTGCTTACATAGCACAGTAGCCCCTCCTAATGCCTAGCTGTAGCAGAACGTGCTCCTTCTTCAGGTAAGCACAGGGAGAAGTCAGCTTGGACACCCGTGCTGCCCTGCAGGCATCTGGGTTGAAAAGGGGGAATTGCTAGTTCACGTGATACTCAGGCCAGTCTTGGCAGAGAAGGAATTTGGCCTGTGGAGGATGGAAAAGACCATCCTAAAGTCAGAAGCAAGGATTAGAGCCCAAATGCCAAGGAGACTTTGCAGTTTCTTCCTCCACAGCAACCTCAGCCCCTAACTCTGCTGGGGAAGCCACCTGGCCATACCGAGTGTCTTTTGGCATGGACGAGCCACGGCTGTTGTCACATCTTGGCTAGCAAATGCTGCTGCTGCCCAAACTCCCCGTTTGTTGCAACTCATCTGGTTCATAAACACACTTTGCTTCTAAAGCCACCCCAAAACTTCCCCGGCAAAAATTGCATTGATCAGAAATGACTTGGTTCGTACCCGGCTAGGAGGAATTATGTAGGAGTTTCATTGAATCATCTTGAGACCATGTGGAGGAGCATGGAAGATATCAAAACTGAACGTTACAAGCTTGAGGATTACTTTAAATGCTTCAAGGGCATTTATGAAGGACGCTGTGGAGGGATAGAAGGCTATACCATTCATCCAGCAATTGTTTTTAGGCCCCATGTGTCATCCATGATCCTCTTTGGTTTGCTTGGTTTGCTCGCTGCACATCTCAAACAGTCTGTTTTCATCTCTTAGTGGACTGTGGATGTGATTCCCTGGTGCTTGTGTTGGTTAAGTGTTTCCCCGGATGATTTTTTTTTCCCAAACAGTTGGAACCAAGGTCCTTTTGTCCATTAAAATGACCAAACACGTGTGTGTCGGTATTAATGTAATGTGCATGGTGGTGTTTCTCTGCTTGGTTTTTTTTTTCCCCCTTCTTAAAAGAATCCAAGTAAGAGACACGATTCTACTTCCTATCACAGATGCTTTTGAGAACACCATATTGGCCCAGACTAAAGGTAATACCAGTTCCACCACAAGGCCAGTACCTAGATCTGCTTCACAGACAGGTAACCAGAATTAACATATTTAAATTCTCAAAGCACATCACTGTCATGTAAATCAGTAGATATTTGTGACTCTGTTAAACTCTCCTGACCTTAAATTAAGTTCTCATTAGCCGCCATTTTTCTTTCTTTAAGTGAGCCATAATTTCCTTTGGAAGGAAAGAAATCCCAAGCCCAAGTAACTTCAGAGTCTAGAAATAATGGACCTAGTACTGATTTGAGGTAGATCAGAGCCTGTTCAAAATAGTGGCTTTGGATTAACTCTGGTGCAATCAGAATTTGGCCTATATTTTACGGCCTGTCTTCTGTATATGTGAATTTATTAGATGTGCCGTCTCTAAAATCTGATTGATGAGATAAAAACTACAAAGGAAGAGGGTAGAGCTATTCTAAGAAAAATGTTTTGCTTGCTGGGAGGTCTTAAATTATTCCTCTAAGTAGCTTGAGCCCTGCCAGTGAATTATAATGACACAAGATTACTAAGGCCTTGTCTATGTGAACAAGTTAATTATTTTCTTGTATAGCCAAAAGTGTGAATTCAAACTGATAGAGTGATACTGGTATGATATTAATAAGGGATATGCAATCTGTGGAGGTATAAACAGGAGACATTTGAATAGATGTAGAGGTTATAATAGCTCTGGGTTTGACATGTCTGGGATACGGTATCAAGTTTGAAGGCATGGAGAAGGAAGTTGCAATGGAGAAGGAAGTTGCAATGGAGAAGGAAGTTGAAAAATTGGACAAAAGAGCCACAAGAATGATTAAAGGATTGGAAATCATGCCCTGTAGTGACTCAAGAAACTCAATCTGGTTAGTTTACTGCAAAGGAGGTCATGGGGACGACTCGGTCACGGTCTCTGCACAGTGAGCAGAAGGCTTCTCATTCTGATAGTCAAAGGTTGATGGGGCCCAATCTCTGGAAGTCAAACCTAGACAAAATTGAGCTAGAAGCAAAGCGCTCATTTTTAGCATGGGGGGCAATTCTAAAAGATGTGCTTCACATGCAGTCATTGAACTCAAAGCTGGAATCAGTTCGAGGAAACCCTCTGGTTTCTGAGATGCGGAAGGTAAGTTTAGATCAGCAGTTCTCAACCTTACTAGATTCAAGTCACCCTGCAGAAAATGCCAGCTCTTCATTTTCCCTCCTTTTTGACTACAGAAAAATACTGAAGCAATTCTTCTGTTGCAAAGAACTCAGAAAGACCACAACAGGTCAGGATGTTTTCAACATTGTGGATTCCTAGTTGAAATCTCTGTGTTTAGCTTGGGATTAAATTTGCGCACCTAACAGTGCTAACATTGAGCAACACCCCACAGCACCTGGGAGAGGAATTCAAGGCACCCCGGATTGCCTTGGCACCCTGATTGGGAATCACTGGTATAGGCAGTTACGATGGTCCCCATTTATTCATAAAATCAGTGACTCTGTTTTAGATTGCAATGTCTATTTTAAACTGACTTTGCATTTCTCCCAGGAGAAGGTCGTATGTCCTGAGATCTTACACAGGTACAAGTTCATTGTCACACTTTAATTACCTGTGAATGATGTGAGATACTCACTATTATCTCACATTTCCTGGCACAATTGTGGTTCATTCCTGTAAATTACTGTTCATTCAGGGGAGAAGTGATGTGTGGAGGTGGCTGTGCCATGCTGCTTTTGTCCCAGGTTTTGACTTGGATCAGTCGGAGCTCCCTCAGATGTGACCTCTGTGTTTAGTCTTTGTGAAGCATCACCTGGTACCCTTGTTCCAACGTACGAGCGGCTTCTTTTGGTTTTGGTTACGTCACCAGGGAAGGAGCATAAACTCAATCCAAATAAGCCACGGTTATACTGGAACAACAGTGTCCACACAGTGCACGGATGTGTGTGTTGTGCTGGTGTGACTATACCTGTCTAACGACATCAGTCAAACTGGAAATCTTTTCCCATATAAATAAGGCCCTCAATCTGCTGCATCTTCCTGAACAGTACCAGATTAACCAGCCCCTCTTTAAAACATCTGCCTAATGCTGATTTTCCATCAGTCCAAAGCAGCTTTTGCTGAGAAAGGGGCACGCACAGTGAGGTTGCATGTAACTATTGTGTGTGAGCACAGATCTGGCTTTGTGCCTTATGGCTGTCACGCTGCTGGCTTGTGTCTGATGGCAGCAGTGACTCACCGGCTGCAAACAAAAGTTCAGCTCCACTTCTGAGCTCCCTGCCCTACTTTTCATCTGCCCGAATGAGGCCGGTATCTAGCCCAGGGGTGGGCAATTATTTTGGGCAGAGGGCCGCTTACTGAGTTTTTGCAAGCCATCGAGGGCCATATGACAGGCAGCCAGGGGCAGATAAATATTAATTTTCTAAGTTGTGGGGAGGCCCTGTGGGCCGGATAGAATGGCCTGGCAGGCCGCATCTGAGTCGCATTTTGCCCACCCCTGTTCTAGCCCCTATCCAGGTGCGTAAAGGGAGTAGGTGCAAGGAGCTTCGATCTGCCCACTGGTGTTTGTCCAGTGGCACTCAGCAATAAAAGGACTCCAACCACAAGCATGGGCAAGAGCACTGCCATGCTTTCCAGCATGGAAGGAAAGCTACGCATTAATTGCCTTCAGTAGATTCAACGAAACAAAAAGTGAGCTTGGATTCAAATGAACACATTCAATAGATATCTCGCATCCATGTTGTGCCTGGGCCAGGTCTTCCCGAGGGATAGTATCCCTGCTTTCTCCTAGTCGACCTATTGTCCTCGCCCGTGCAGAAGAAGCAGGTAGATGCCATCTCCCGGTTCCACAGGAGGAACAGGAAGTACATGGTGCTGTCTCCAAAAGTGGATTTGCCAGGCTGGCATGTACCAGGGAGGAATTTTGGAGGACTTCCTCAAATATGAATGAACATGGTCTTATGATGGTCTCATGCACGATCTGGAACCTGCCTATCTCATTTGGCCCCTAGTGTATTTCTTGCTTTGGGCAGGTCGAGAGCACCCAACCTCACCCAATCAGCGGCAGTTCCTTGTTTCTGTTTCCACAGATGCAGGTGGATGAAAAGCAGTGAGACAAAGAAAAAATTCTTTGAATCCCCAGAAAGTTGCATTCAGTTCAGGGGCGAGGTTGGGACAAAGGCTGAGGGATAGGGTCAGCTCTGTCCGAAGGAGTGCTCTCATTACGGTCAGTTCTGTGAAGAGAAGGCTGAACTTGGGCCATCTGTATCGAGAGGCACTGCACATCATTCTTTGGCTTGAGATGCATCTCCCTTTGCCCTGCAGCAAGTTATGTGGGAGGTAACTTCTTGGTCACTTCATTAACTACTTGGTTAATGAAAGAAAAATGCTCATGTGTTCCACGTGACCTCGCACTTCCCCGGTTGAATATCTTGCATATGGCACTAGAAGGCATCAGTATCTTATGCAGAAACTGGAAGGCAGTAACATCACTCAGCTGTGTGTCATGTCATACACGCTGCTAATGTTCAGAGAGATGCTTTTCTATGGGAGCTAGTTAGTCGGCTGCTTTTTCAGAGCAGGAGGCCCTGGCTGGGCCTGAATGGTGCACAGTGATGATACTCAACCTAGCTTCTCATGGACTTGCTCCTGAACTGGAAGCAGCATGGCCACATTCACATGACACTGCACCCAGGCTAATTAATTTGGCTTCTCTGTGCCATGTAAACCCACCCTCTGGGTCCGGTTCTCACCGAGGCTGGGGCTGATGGCGGTGCAATCCTGCGTGGGTGAAGAGTTCTTACTATATATTTCTGTATTGCTAGCATGATGTGACAGTGTATTGCTGCTATACAGCAACAAGAGGAGCCAACCTGTTGATCTTGCCATCTATCTACCATGAGCCAGCTCTACTGATCCGACAAAGGAGTGCTCCCATGGGAATGGCAATCAGTCCTTCTCTTCCTGCACCCTCAGTTGTGTTTGTCTAGGCACTGTGTTTGCACCCAAAGACCTGTGCCTCCTTTCACTCTGATTCTTCTTTTTCCTCTTTGCCAACTAATTCTGCTTTAGGTGGTTACCAGTTTTTTGAAGCAGTTTGTGCATAAGGTCACCTGGAAGTGGGCTGGAAAGGACTGCGCTTCAACAGGTTTTGGACTTGGGAACTACAGATGTATAACCTGATGTGACCTGAAAGCTGGAAAACACACACATTGAGCTTGCCTTTCTGAACAGGCTCCAGCTAGTCCCCTCCACTAAGTCATCGTTTGTTGTAACTCTTTCTGCTGAAATATGCCTTGTCCCTTCTGTTCTGTAGTCACTGAAGTGAATTTTGAAATAATGCTGGAAAAAGATACAGTGCAGGGGAGTTGGGGAGGGAAATGTCTGAATATGTTTGACTTCTCTAATTCCTCATGGAAAGTGGTCAAAGCTTGTTGTTTAATGTTCTTCCCCCAGGTTGGCCCAGCAGACAGATGCCGTCACTAGACACATTCGAGGATTTTGAAGCTATCCCCTCCAGCACTGATGAGCTCTCTAACTCTTCTGACATGGAGGAAGAGACCAACGCTAACAATGTAATTCCTTTTCACAACATACACTGCACCTTTCTCCTTGCTTCCTAATATAAGGTCAGGGCTGAGTTTGGATCCGTGTTTTCCCCAAATTCAGGGGTGTTTTGGTTTGGAGATTTGATTTAGTTCTAGGTCAATGGCATAATTCAAAATTGGAATGGTGTCCAAGTTCCCTTGAAGTTATGGGAGGTTTAGATTCATGATGGATAGTTGAGGCCATCTCTAGAGATAACTATCCGTGGATATATAATGCACAGTGCTGTCCCGAGTGTGCTGCTGACTTGTAGCAGCATCTCACAGCCTCGGAGCTACCAGAGCTCTGTGAACAAACTGACCTGCCTGGACATTGCTCTTGGATTCGCTGTCTTCTTCTCTAGGTTTTTCTGATGACTGGGATCAATGAAAGCCTCCCTCGTGTCACTTATGAAGATATAGAAGCAGAAAGAAATCAGCCTAGCCCCCTTTCGTGTACTCTTCAGCCGTTTCTAAATTCCCATAAGTCAGAAGCATCTAAAAACCAACATTTTTTATTTTCCTTTTCTTCAAAGAAAGAAGTCAGCTCCCTGATCTGAACAAAACTGAGTCTTTAATCTGCCACCCATGTTTCAGACACTTTCCGTTTCATTGAGTAGTGCATGTTCTTTGCCCCACTCTAAAAGCCTGTAAGCAAAGGGGCTGGGGTGTTGTTTCCATGCTTGCTTATGCCAGTTTTTGTGCTAGCCCATCAATGAGACTTTCTCCTGATTTACACCATCATTGCCAGGGAAGGATTCAAGCCCAGGGTTGGAGAGAGATGCTTTTTAACAACAGCACAGCTGAATTACTTCATTTTGGATTGTTAAGCAGCATCTGGTCACATCTGCAGTGTCTGGAAACTTCACATAAGAAAATAAGTCAGTTCAAGCACGTGGGACCACTCGGACGGGAAGCACAAACTGAGTGGTGGCTGATCTCTTCTTTCCAGAGGTCTGACTTGCCCACAGACATCTGCATGTGACTAGCCTTTGGCACTGGCCGAAACAAAAAGAATAGGAAGTAATAGCAAGCCTTGTAGAGGACATTTCTCAGTGCCTAATGTAGTCTGTTGCCCACGAAGTTCCTCTGTCCAGCATCTCCTTCCTTCACAGTAACGGCATGTCTGGCGCACTGTTTCATTCATTACAGGTGTCCAACCTCTTTCGGGTAGAAGGCAGCTTTGAAACCTGTTTTCCAGAGTCTCTTGCTCTAGAGGATGGAGATTTAGTGCAGTTTGTACAGGAGGGAGAAAACGGACAATGGTAAGTACAGCAGAGAGCTGAGCTGATAGTGCAGCTCCTTGAGAGGCGCCGTGTCGTGATCACACCCTCCAGAGTCTACGATAGACCCCCGATGACTTACAGAGCCGTGCTGGGGCTGGGGGAGCGCTTGGGTGGGCTTGGCACCACTCCAGCAACATTTCTCCCTTTACAGCTTGACCATAGCTGGGTTTCTAGTAGGGCTGTGCAAGGCTTCGGACCGTGCTTTGGATCCAGAGACGCTTTGGACACATCGGCATCTGAAGTAGTAGGTCCAGATCGAAGCGCTGGCTTTGTTAGGCTTTCTGAAGCAGTTCGGAGCTTCCAGAGCGCTTTGGGAAAGCTTCAGAGCTGCTTCGGAGATCTGGCCATAGGTTATAATAGGGAACCAATGAAATATCTATAACTTTGTTGTTTTTTGTCTGATTTGGATGGATCTTGCAGGGACGGTAGCCCCTGATGAAGCCACAGAGCCTGCCAGGTTTCAAGGTGATAGGTGCAGGGGTTTGGGGGGAACTGCCCCTCAAGCTGCTGACAGACAAAACTCATGCCATGGGTGACACTGTGTGTGTTAAGGTGCAGTGGGGTGACAGCCCCTGCTCAGGCCATGACACCTGCCAGCTGTGGAGGAGATCGGTGCAGGGGGAGTCTGGGGCCCTGCACCCCTAGCTGCTGACAGACAAAACTCGAGCCATGGGTGCTTGTGGGACTGACTGTGTCTGTCTTGGGGCAGTTGCTTATCTGTATTGATTCTTTCCTCTCCTTAGTCTGTGGTTTTGTAGGTGTTAATCATTGCTAATTAACTAATTATCTAGTAGCTACTAGCACGGGCGTGAACAAAATGTGGCCCGGGGGCTGGATGTGGCCCGCTAGGCCATTCTATCCAGCCCGCGGGGCCCCTAAAAAATTTAGAAAATTAATATTTACCTGCCCCAGGCTGCTTGTCATGAGGCCCTTGATGGCTTGCCAAAACTCAGTAAGTGGCCCTCCACCCTAAATAATTGCTGGCCCCTGTACTGTGTATTGAGGTGGTCCCTGAGTGAATCATGATTGATTGGTAACTGGCAACACAGTAGCTTAGCAGCCAGGCCTGCAGTAGTTTCACCCCCCTCCCACCCTGCTGTGCCCCAAGACAGACACAGTGGCACAAGCACCCATGGCATGAGTTTTGTCTGTCAGCAGCTAGGGGTGCAGGGCCCCAGACCCCCCACACCGATCTCCTCCACAGCTGGCAGGGGTCACAGCAGGGGCCACCACCCCTTCAGCTGTCACCCCGCTGCGCCTTAGCACACCCAGGGTCACCCATGGCATGAGTTTTGCTTGTCCGCAGCTTGAGGGGCAGTTCCCCCCAAAACCCCTGCACCGATCTTCTTGAAACTGGGCAGGTTCGTGACCTGAGCAGGGGCCACCACCCCTGCAGTTTTTACCCCCCTGTGGTGTAACACACAGCCGTGACATGAGTTTTGCTTTCAAGAATTTGGGGTGCAGTTCCCCCCCGAACCCCTACACCGATCTTCTTTAAACTTGGCAGGCTTCATGCACTCAGCAGAGGCTACCATTCCTACAAGTTTCACCCAAATTGGACAAAAACTAACAAAGTTATAGATATTTCATTGATCCCCCATTTTACCCTATGGCCGGGTCTCCAAGGGGCCGGATCAAAGTGGGAACCCGGTCCAGAGCTCTGGATCGGATCGCTGCCATCCGAAGCGGCCATATCCAAAGCTGGATTGAATAGCTGCCTACTCTCACAGGCCTAGTTTGTAGCCCTCTCCTGTGCATTTCCATGAAAAATGGGCCAGTGCAAAGGAGGTGGATGGGAAATGCACTGACCTGCTCTCTCTGCATTTCAGGCTAGTCAAGAAGCTGGTGTCTGAGAAAAGTGACTGGGTTCCTTCCAGCGTGTTACAGCCAGCCAACGGGCATAGTAACAACTTGCTTAGGAACAGCAATGCAGGTAATAAAGGTAGTGTCTGCCAACATCGGGAAAGCTCCTGGACTTTCTTATTATTTTTGCTTTAGAAAGCATACACTGGTGCCTGCTAAAACAAACGCACTTCAGATATGTATTCAGTTCAGCGGCCTCACTAGACGTAGCTGTTGAACGCAGATCAGGGCCTCCGTGGGCATCAGGGTTCAGTCCCATAGTCACTGGTCTGTGGTTCAGACTTGAATTTGAGGACGGCAACGTCTTTTGAGCTACTGTTGCAGATCAGGCACTCGCACAATTGCAGATCAGGCACTTGCACAATTGTTTCCACCATCTTGGGTTGATGGTGCTTGATGATGTGCTGATCTTATGAGATTTCACTGAAACCAGATGTCAAACCAGTTTTTTTCCCCAGCTTTAATTCTGGCCCCAAATCTTAAGGGAGTGGTTAGGTTTGGAGAGTTGAATCTAAACCCCTCTGCAGATCAAGGTGATTACAGATTGGACCCCTCTTTAAAATGAATGAGCCAAACCCACTGACACAGGCGTGACTCATTGTGGAAAGAGAGAAGCTTGGGATGATTCATTTTACCTCCCATCTAAAAGAGAGAGGTGCTGTTTAATTTTTTTTTGGGGGGGGGGGGGAGGAGGTTGACAAAACTTTGTTTTTTCTTTGAGGATTTACCAGGGTTTAAAAACCCCTTTTGAAAATAAACAGAAATTCCTTGCTGCAGCTTAAGAAAAATATGGCAGTGACTGTGGCCTGCCAGCAGATCTGTGCTTCATCTGGATCAGTACTTTGATGTTGATCCCATTGACAGTTGGCTGAGGGACCCCTCCATCCTGACTAGTGATTAACATATGGCATGGGAATGGAGATTAGGCATTTTTTAAAATTTTACTGCTGGGTGCTCTGGGATACTAATATCAAACCTCAAAATTGTAGCATAAAAGCCCTTGAGATTTCAATATAACGACACTCTCCATGCATTTGTTTTTCAGAAGCATACAATGATGCCTGCAACACGACCTCCGCAGAATCAGCAATGAAGGAAAGTGAGGTGGCCAGGAGCTTAACAGCAGAGCAGAGGGCTGGAAGTTGAGTCACAGGGCTGTGACCTCCTCAGGACTCCAGGCTCTTGTTTGTTGGTTAGGGGTGGATGCTGGACCAAGTTGCCTTTCTCACCAGCTCTGAGCTTCAGAGTTTCTTCCATCTTCATCAGCATGAACAGAAGAGAACTGCTGGGTCCAGCTGACAAGCTGAAAGACTTGAAGAAGCACTAGACATTAAAAAAAAAAAGCATCAGAACCATCTTCAGTATTAAACAGGAACTGATAAATGCTTCTCGCATTGGTTAGCAAACTGTTCGAGAGGATGTGGCCTAAATTAGGTCGACAGCAGAATGAAAAGCTACTATGCACCCACCTTTTGGCAACCTTGCTTGGGTTCTTTCCAAAGGATGGATCTGTGGTCACCAGTTCCTGCTCCACTGGGGAATCGCCTGGCATTTTTCCATTTGTCTGGCTCTGCTGCTGTGCCTTTCCCTGACTCCCTTCATTCCAGAAGATAGACCATGAAAATATCCAGTCATTCCTAATGGATCATCAGGAGCAAGAACCTAACATTTGCAGGGAAGTGGTGGTGGAAAAACTCATGCCAACTCAAGACTATCAGTGAAGCTGAGCCCCGCCATGGCGTGACTGCTTTGACAGTGGTGCAGTGAACGATCTTCTGTTTACAGGATCTGTGGATGACGCAGGTTGGCAACTTCTGGCCAAAAGATGGAGTTTCAAGGTTTAAGTGGCAAACAAAGGCATGTGATGATGACTGTGCTGAAGGACCAGCTGAGCTCTTCTTACAGTATAAACAGATTCCTTCCCTCTACCGTGGTTGCTGGATCACATCCCTCTGCATTTGGTGCTGATAATTTCATAGAGCAGCATTTAAAGTTACCCATTTGAGTACACTGCATGCTTGCACTTCCATTGTGTGCTGGGCTATGGAGTAGGTACAGTTCATTCCCATATCGTATCCAAATATACTTAAGCATTTGCTAATAGGCTGGTGAGTGTTAGAAACACTGATGAGTGGATAAAGTGTTATTGTTAATTGCTTCTTTCCAGGACATTTTTATTAAGGACTGTACCAAATCTCGGTCACATTAGGATGAATGTAGACCTTTCACAGATGTTAGTAATTCCTGTACAAGCCATTAGCTAATTCAGAGCAAGTCTGAAGGCATGTGCATGGAGGTATTTTGATGCTAAACTGGAGTTTTCAAGCCCACAAAGCTGCTAGTCCCTTACGTGTTGCAAAACTAAATACTGATCTAGGACTGTGCATAGAAGAAAAGACCAGTCTGGAAGAAATGACCCTGGAGAGCTCAAAAGTCAGGGATTAGTTTTCCCCACTGGAGACTGTTTCCATTTCTCTCCCTCCCCGATGACTAATGATGCTTTATGTAAATAATAGGCAAAAATGGAAAAAAAGCTAAACCAGAAACACTATGAATTGCACCATTAGGCAGAATAATAGCTTGAAATAATCATGCTTTTGAAGTCACCACTGTTGCACTGAGATGCAATGTGAGCTCATTTAGTGCTGGTAATAGATTTCATTTACCTTTCAAGGATAGTTGGGGCCAAAAACCGCCCTCAGGAACATACAAAAGTCCTGCTAAATCCCCCAGAGCAGGGGTGTTGAACTCATGTGCCGTATAAGCCAGATGATGGGCATCCCTGGGCTGGTCTGTGGGCCAGACTGGGACCGACCCTCCATGGAGCAGTCACAGTGCTGGGTCCAGCCCACGCACCACACACAGCGCATACCATGGCATGAGGCATGTCTGCAGCACCCGGTCTGGCTGGTCTGGGGCGCCTGTGCCCGAGCCCCCCTGTGCTGTGTGTAGCACTGGGTTTAGCCTGTGTTGCATGGGCAGCACATGCCCCATGTCAACCCCAGGGTCTGTGTGCATGGCAAATCCTGGGGCCAGCGCGTGCTGCATACAGTGCATGGGGCTAGACCAACCCTAGACACTGGTTCTGGGTCTGGCGGGCACCAGATGGAGCGTGAGCCCCATGCTGGCCCCCTGTGCCACATGCAACATGTAGGGCTGGAGTCAGTGACCCACGGGCCAAGTCGTACAGATCTGGCCTGTGGGCCATATGTTTGACACCCATGCCCTAGAATCACATGAGCAGCTTGAAGACAGAGGTAGAGTCCCTTTGGTCCCCAAATACAGTTACAGGTTTGTGCAGTGAAATCATTCCCGCTCCCCACAGAATAACTTCACCTCGGTTTCCTTGTTACTTCAGTGACAGGGACACTGTCTGGTAACGGGGCCTCTCCTCGCCCCTGCCACCCCCTGAATTTACCATGTGGGGCTGGAGAGGTTGTAGTGCACAGCGGTGTGCGTGGAGGGGTTTCCTCTGTGTACGTGAACTTGCCAAAATGAAGGGTGTCATTGTTGTATTATTGTTATATGAAAGCCAAAAATCGCACTTTGGATTCTTCCTAGAGGAATGGGTAAGATCCAAACCATCATTGGTAAAACATCAGTCTGTCTGCTGGTGGGAAGTCAGGAGTTGCAGAATCACAGAAAATTCAGGTTGGAGGGACCCCAGAGGGTCACATCTAGTCCGACCCCCTGCTCAAAAGCAGGACCAGCCCCAACTCGATCATGCCAGCCATGGCTTTGCCTACCTACGTCAGCTCTATCTCAGCCTCTGCCATTTGCCGTGTGATCAGAGGTAAGTCCCTTCCCTCCTGAGCACCTCTGCTTCTGCGTGTGTCAAATGGGGGAACGCCACTGTGCAGTTTCCACTCACCTGTGCCCCTCAGATGGGGGATCACTGCCAGGCAACCCATGAAGAAGCCCATTCCCTCCTGGGGCAGCGAAGCAGCAGGCCTACATCACTGCCTACATCCCATGCGCACCTTTGCACTCCCAGGGTGTTACCAGTTGCCTGTTACCTGGGTACACTGGGATGGTGAGGCAGAGCAGGCTCCTTCACTCCAGACCACAAAGACAGCAGCCACAAAATACAGTGTGGATTGTAACTACTTTTCCCCACCTTTTTTTTAACAATTTCAGCAGGGTTTATTTTTTTCCTCATCAACATTATTTCAAGGTTTGTCGTGCTGGCCAAGCCTTATATGTCATGTTATTTTTATGACGGAGAAAGAACCCAGTCTCTTACTATCGCTTTTAATGATAAAATCCAAAGACTTTGATTTCTTGAGGAATCAAAAATAAAGCTGAGGACAATTCTAAATGAGTAGATAGAGAAAGATTGTATTTTGGCTTTGCTGACACGATAGTCCAGGGTTCAGTGACTGTCCATTTTGCTTCTTTGGCTGCCAAGACAATCTTTTAATTGCTGTGGTACTTTGTGGCCAACCAGGACTTAATAACACGACGGATGCCCCATCCAAAATCTAGAGGATGATTTAGGAGCAGAGTTAAGATTCAGCAAGGCGAATGCATTAGGGCACAGCCGTGTTGGAAGCAGCTCTTCCCACAAGTTCATTGTCTTCTCTTCTCTTCCCGCATCACGATGTGAATTCCAGAAAGATACCCCTGTCTACACTGCATGGAGAAGACGTGGTAGCTAAAGAGGTGTTTAAGAGTAGTGGCTGCCAAAAGGCTTCAACTATAGTATAAACAAGGGGTAAGGCCCGGTCTGCGCTATAATAATCGGCACATTTGATCCTTCACTGCTTTTAGGGTCTCACCCCATTAAGTAGAGAGTGGAGAATCAGGGCCATCATGTCTAGACACAGTTATAAACAATTGTCGCCCAACTCAGTCCTATCATTGGCTTTCCTTGCCAGACTGAACAAAGATTTATGTGGTTTTGTGTTCCTGTTCCTTAAGTGATTAAAAGCCATTTTGACAGCCAGCCTTTTTTTAAGTGCTCAGAGATCTCAAACAGGATTGGGTTTCAGGAAGGTCAAGTGCTTCCCTTACATAATGCTTGAGGACTGGCTTGTTATTAGACGGTCCAGTACTTTTAAAAAGCCAAATTGTTGCATTTTTCTGCAGCAGCTGAAGCTGAAATAGCTGCTAAGAGTTCTTCTCGTATGCTGAGAATTGGTACAGTTTGTCATTCTTGCATATTTCCATGGTGTTGATGATGACGATGATGTATTTGTATATTGTGATCGAGAGATAATCAGACAGGTCAAAGCACAGGATTCTCTTGAGGAATTGCCTGTCTCCTTCCCCCCTCCCCCCCAGTCAAAGCTGAATGTATGAATTTATAACAAGTGTGCAAAGTTGGAATTTCTGTAAATAGGCTGTTCTGAACGATGTAGAACCACTCTTTGTTTGGACTTTATAAAAATTATAAATACTGTAGTACAAAACACTTTGTGATTGGGATTTCTATGCAACACAACCGATTACATGAACTTTTTATGAATCTTAAAAAAAGGGGACGTTCACGTAAAAGATCTGTCTGCAGCTGGAAAAATCCATGCCGACATCCGGCTTAACCTCAGTTACGGCCAAGGCATTTTTGGCCACGCAAGCATAATGCTTTCCCTTTACAGAATCCCCATTGATCACATCCCCTGACTCATGTTAGCCCCTTATTTAAGCGTAAGGCTGAGTTTAATGCAGGTGTCTGTGCAAAGATTGTAATTGCAGCCCTGGCTCTGTTGGGTGCAAGTCATGGCGTTAGTGAATGATGAAACCCATATGATTTGGGGCCTATCTGCCTATAGGGCTACCTTTCCCCCTAAGATTCAGCCTGGCATTTGAGAGTCTATGAAGTGCCTCCACTATTAGACCCTCAGTCACGGGATGAGGAAAATGTATTCACTTTGTCCTAGATTTCGCTCCTTTTCAGTCCCAACTTTATGGCATGGTGTGTAGCTCATTCTTCGGTTGACTGAGGACTCCAGGCAGGGCTGGGCAGAGGACCTGGTTGTATGGAAGGAGCTGAGCTTTGTTCTGCACTGTTTCATGGGTGGATATTTGTCAGCAAAGGAGTATGTGGGTTACAACTTGGAGCATCTGCCTGGAGACAAGACGGTGCACCATTATTAAAAATCTGAGTGCAAATAAATATTGAAAGAGAATGCACACACACCATGTTTGAAAAAAACAAACGCCTCCCCCCAAAAAAGAGGAAAATCCATTGGACAGAACGTCCTGTGGTGTGAATCGGCTTGGTAATATAGCCTGCTGTCCACTAGAGAGAGTCAGAGCTCTTTATTGACAGAGTACGATTTGGAAATACAGATCCCTCCACAAGATGTATATGTCGATGTTATCCCAGTGCACAGCACAAGTTAGGGGGTTCTTATTCTTAGAGTGATTCTCAGTGGTGGTGAATTGAACCATTCATATGTGCAGTTCCCATGTTCTGGTTGCACAGTGAAGGCCTCATTCGCCTCTTGAGTTATGCTGATATAAATCAGGTGCAACTCTATTTGAATGATTTCTGATTTGAATCAGTGTAAATGAGGGGAGATGTGGGTCATGAATGCTGAGGCTGCTCGTGTAAGTCAGTGGCACTATAAGCGAGATGGCCAGCTCCTTAGCAAGCAAGCGCCCAAAGACACTTGGGTTTTCATCCCCTCTGAGCCCCTGACTGATCTTCAGCAAGTCCCTCAACACCTGGACGTTTTCTTGGTGTTTCTGCTTTTACAGTCTGCTCCCATCCTTTTACACCTGCTTGAGTTAAGGTCTGGGAAAGATTCAGAAGCAGTGTGGTGTCATGCTGGAACTGGGAGTATTGCTGTCAATGCCAGTATTTTCTTCTTGGTTCAGCCTGCGCGCTGGGTGAGCTGCTCGGTGATATATTGCAGCCTTGCTCTTTTCTGAAACCCAGCGGGGATGTTGGAGTTGGAGCAATCAAGTGTCCATTGTGTGAAGCATCCTCTCCACCGAGCACAGGCAAGTGCAGACAGAAGCACTGAGTAGCAAGGTGCAAGCCCGTGGTCCATGTCAAGCCTGATGGGAGTAAAGTCCACACGCACAAACCCAGGGTTAATGCCCTTTAATTTTCAGAGCTGCTAGTCCCTGCTGTGCTAGGTTGCCCTCCAGGTTGATTAAGGATACTTTTAAAGTGTGTCTATCCAGTGCTGAAGGGCGTTGTTGGGTATGGCCATGAACTTGACCCAAATGGCCACACCTGAGCCAGCTGATTGCATCTTCTTGGGGCCAAGGAGTAGGACTGAGCGTGTTATGCAGCACGGCCATCGTGTGCAGTGTCTGCTAGTTGTTCCCTTGGCTTGGGCCACCCCCAAATGCTCTACCTGTGCTCTGCATGTGGGCTGGGGAGTGGACCCAGACCCTTTTACCAGGTCCCCTTAGTGTGCTGACCTGAAATAAGGAATTTAGCCCTAAAGAAACAACTCAGAAATGCCCATTGGGCTAGAGTCCCAATGCTCACATTCTCATCTGCCTCGGCCATTGCATAGAGTTGGCAAATGATAAAGCCACAGCCTTCAAAGAGAGGCATTGGCTAGATGCAGGCCCCCGGTGGCAATGTTAAACTGGTGAGATTGCAGCTCATGGGGTGAAGATGGAGAGGGTGAGGGGGGATGAAACTTTCTTCTCGGATCATTGCCCCTTATTTGCATTTTCACTTTCTTTTCCACCATCAACAGTTTCTCTATGGGCACTTAAAGGTGCAAAGAGGTGATTGGCCCCACCCCCTGCTGTCCATGTGACTTGGTGGTAACTGCACAGGGTGAAACTTCTTGGTTTGTGTGCAGACCTTTTTTCCCTCTCCTTGCAGCTCTGCAGAGAACAGTGACACTATCTTTGCTGCCTCAGCCATGGACATGCGTATTTTCAAGGTGGTGCAGCTAACCTTGGCCTGGGGTGAGTCGTACCTTCTACAATCCTATTGTACGGTGGAACGTACCTGCAGGTCACTGCAAGCTTGTGCATTGGGAAGGATGTGTGGCTTGGTACATGGAAAGCAATTCTGCTGCTAGAAAGAGCTCTGTTAGTATATTCTCATTGCTAAGAAATATGCTAGGAAATGAGTGTATTTTAATGACTGCGGGTGTTGCATCGTTCTGAGTTTTCACTCTATATTTTTTCCCTCGTACCTCATCTTGAAAGTAAAAGAGTCCTCAAGCAAATCAACATAGCTCACAAGAAATGTTGAGACCGATTAAAAAATGATAATAAACCAGCAGAGTGAAGTGCCTGAAGTGAATAGAAAGTCATTTATCTACACACTGCTAAGGCAGAACGATATTAAGATTTTCATAATGAACTGGGGAGTTGGAGAAAAGGGAGGGTGCAGTATTATTGAGAGCACATGGGTTGCAGCTAAGAAAGTCCACACAGACATCCAAAAGGTAGATCTTCCACTAGTGTGAATCAGCATCACTTCAGGGGAGTCAGTGGAAGTACCTCGCTCTAGGATCTGCCTCAAAACGTGGAGGCATCCCATAATAGCCACACGAATAGAAAATGTTATCCATTGAGGAAATGTGGGAAGCTGTTTAATAAGTGTCTAATGGCAAAAGCTCTGAATCTGCTGGCATGACAGTCGTTCTGTGCAGAGTTTTAGCATTTAATATGTAGGAGCCATGTATGTATTCAGTCAACCTCCCTCTTCCTCCTGACAGTATTGGAACAGCATTACATACAGATCTACACTGAGCAGGAGAAAGGTGGGACTAGATTTACAAATGGCACCCCGAGTATTATGCATAAAGGCAAATTTGGTGTCTTGGTGTGTATCTGCAGTCAACTGAAGTCCCCCAGAGTAGCTCTGAATTGATGCTGTCATAACATTTGACTAGAAGTAGATGGGGGAAGTTTAAATGAACTGTGGCCAGTCATGGTGGTTTTTATCAGAGCGGTCGGTTATTTCCTTTAAAAAGTCAGTCTGAATCTTTCGGGAGCATGCACAGAAAAATGTCCAAATTAATGTGGAAAGCAAGGTGGGGCTCAGTGCTCTCTCTTACTGGATCGACTAGATAGGAGAGATGTTAGACAGGTCTGAGAAACAAGCCTAAGGTAAATTCATAGTTTCATAGTTTCTAGGGTCAGAAGGGACCTGAGCAGATCATCGAGTCCGACCCCCTGCCATGGCAGGAAAGAGCACTGGGGTCAAACGACCCTGGCGAGGTGTTCACCTATGCCTTATGTTTAGTGTGTGTGTGTGTGTGTGTGTGTGTGTGTGTGTGTGTGT